GAGGTTCAGAGTCTGGGAGAATAAGCTTCTGCTTTTTGCTTTTTACTCCCAATTTTTTTTTTCTCAAAATAAAGCAATAGCCCTGTAGGAAGTTGCGTACAAAAATCTGCATTTGAACTACCTACTCGAGCACTCAGAAGTCAGGAAATGTCACAATTAAGCTTATACAGGCAACCTTAACTCTGCTCCCTAATGCATATTCTAGTGCTTATATTTTCCATTATCAGAGGGGTAGTCTGGATCTGTAAAAAGCAACAGAGAGTCCTGTGGCACCTTTAAGACTAACAGATGTATTGGAGCATAAGCTTTCGTGGGTGAATGCCCTCTACGTCGGATGCACGGGCATTCACCCACGAAAGCTTATGCTCCAATACATCTGTTAGTCTTAAAGGTGCCACAGGACCCTCTGATATTTTCCATTATAATAAGATGCAATTTTTCTACAACATTCAGTACACTGTTGTAGTATCTTGTAGTCTTGGTCCGTGTGTGCCAGACGGAGTCCCTGAAAATCATTTATATCTAACGTGCACTGCACATTGTACATAACAATGAGTAATAGTGAAAATTTACTGGCATATTTAGGTCACCTATGTATGCAGTGAAGTTAGATTTATAGCTAATTAACTTTTCTCTGAATTGTAGCTAAGGAAGTCTGTGCTGCTAATAGAAAACATTAGGTTAAAATGTCTATTAGTGAAGATCTACCAGACTCCAGCTGGCAGGAGCAGCCAAAGTACAGCCCTTTGCACATTCAGAAAATGTCCTGCAGTTTTTGCTGGACTTTTGTACCTTGTGCTGATTAGCTGTTTGCTTCAACCCTCCCATCGCCCAGTCTCTCTACCTCAGCTTCACTCCACACGTGTCCCTCTTCTCCCCTGCCGTGGCTTCTTCACCCCAGCTCCCTACAATATCTTCTCTCCCTTCCCTTTGCTTTCCATGTAGCTGATCCCCTCCTAACGACTCCCCCCTCAAAAAAACAACAAAAAAACCCCATCATGGAACTAATCTGTCATTAGCTGCTCTCTCTCTGTTCGTTCTGCGGGTGTGTTCAGCCCCTTCCCCCACTCTGTGTCTGTCTTGTCTATTTTGATTGTAAGCTCTTTGGAGTAGGAACAGTCTACTCCTGGGTTTGTACAGGGCCTAGCACAGTGAAGCTTTGTTTGGTCCTCAGGCACCACTGTAATAAACATGTTTCATAATAATAGGGTTACCATATTTGAACTTTCAAAAGAGAGGACATTCCTGGGAAGGGGGGGGGGAGGGGTAGCCCCGCCCCCTAGCCACTCCCTCCCACTTCC